AAATGAACGGTATTTTCAAAAAGCCTTTTCCAAAAAAGATTCAGTTCTAGATGAATACCACGCTTACATCAGTGTCTGCACAGCTAACTTAGAAGCCGAGATGATTTCAAAATCAGAACTGAAAATGAGAAGTCATCTCTGGACCTAGCTCGCTTACAGGAAATGGGCAGGTCCTGCAGCAGATCTGCACTCTTGAACTTTTTTCTTGGTGCTAACAGAATTGAAAAAAACCGTGTGAATTTGAAAGTCAGTCAGTCACATCTCGATTTTAAGAGGACAACAGGCCAGAATCAGGCCAGAGGCCGGGAGTGGAAAGGAACAGCAATATAAAGGTGTGTGGGGGACAGAAAAGGCAACGTGAAGGGGATAGGAAGAGAGAGAAAGAAGCCTATAGACAGGGAAGGAAGCAAGCAACATGGAGAGCAGCTGGAGAAAAGACGGATGGAGTAGAGAAAGAGTCAAGGGGAAGCTTCTGTGAGGACAGAAGAAGAATGGGTAGGCCAGGAAGGAGCTTTTCGATTTTGCCCTCCCTTCGCACCTCCAGCCTTGCGATTTCTCTCCTGCCACCACCTCCAGGTGCCTGTGGCAGCCATCACCGGACTAGCCGCATGCCACAGAACAGCCCTTTTGTGCTGGTGCCCACTGGTCTGAATGGGGGGGGGGGGGCTGCTCTAGAGAGCCAGCTCTGACAGGGCGGTGCAGGTTGCTGCAGCATCCTCTCTTCCCTCTGATTTTTTCCAGAACTGTTTTATAGTCAGGCATGCTCATTTTATTTTTTAAAAAAACTTTTAAAGTATATTAGTATGAAATATAAATCTACACAAGCTTGGAGTCTCTTTAAGGTCAGGGTTGGTTTTGTGTGTGCATGTTTTGATTTTTTTCCCTTTGTTCTATCCCATCAGAACTGTTAAACAGTTGAAAAGTATGCAGTTGCGTGGTAGGTAGGAGAGAAATGTTAGTTGGGTATTTCAGAATGGAAGTGAGGCATGTGGCCATCTAATAACCATAAAACCCCATTAAACCATTATGTTCAAGGTCTAGAATTGTCTAGCTACACTACCATTTCACCTCTCCCAAATACAGATACTTTGGAAGAATATCCAGGCAAAAGTGCCTGCAGTTATTTTATTTATTTATTTTTAAGGAAAAAAGCATACAGGTATGTGAGGGGATGTCGCATGGAGGTGGGTAGAGACCTGTTCTCCCCTGCAGAGGAAGGCAGGACGCACTCCAACGGAGCAAAGCTCAGGGAGCCAAGGTTCCATTTGGATGCCAGGAAGCACTTCCTGACAGTTAGGACCCCGAGGGTGTGGAATGGGCTTCCACAGGAGGTGGTTGAGGCCCCATCGGTGCGGGTGTTCAAGGATAGGCTGGACGTCCACATGGTGGGCATGTCGTGAGCGGAGCCGGCTGGTGCCGGAGGACAGACTAGATGCCCCGGAGTCCCCTTTTGACTCGCTCTGTTTCTGTGTTTCTATGATGTGCATTAGATCTGTTTCAACCGCACCAATACAAATGTGTCAGCCTTTCTCTTCTTTCCCCTTCTGGTGGAAATGCATTTATTTGCACTAATATATAACCTAAATCTATTTCTGTTTAGTTAGAAGTTAAATCCCACTGGCAGCACTGGGACTCCCTGGTAAGCATATGCAAGAAACTACAAATGGTTTAAGTTTTGATCCAAATTCAAGGAGGTTGGGGCAAAGTCTTTTTGTTAACTTCAGTGGGTTCTGGATTGCTTTTCTCTTGCTGTTATTTCTCCACTAAGTGAATAAACTGTAGCTATTTCTTTTAAAAGATGTGACTGGAAAATGGAGATTCCAGTCTTCTCAGAGCTGTAGAACTCATCCACTAAATTTTATATGAAGCTTCCACAGTAAATTTGAATCACATATACCAGTCCTATAATGTCCTAGTCAAACTGTGGATTATACAGTTTCTTCTAGGACAGTAACATGGAAATGGCACCATTCGACCGTAGTGATCTGTATCATATGAAATATTAGTACATCGTTGAATCATAAAAACTGCACAAGCACAGTTCTCTAGAAATGGGACGCAACATACTTATGACTATATTAATTGAAAACAGGTATCAAAGCTTTGATTCTTTTACCCCTGGCATCATTTGGTTGTACAGATGAAAATATTAATGCAATTAATTGGTAGACTGATCTGTTAGCTCACTGACCACAGAACTGGAATAAGTTTTTAATTAAAGTAGAATTGTGTTCACAGCTGGTAGCTTTGTTGTTAAGGCTCTGCATTTCTTGAGTCATGACCTCCCAGGGAAAAAAAAATCCGTTTGCCAGGCAAGAGCAATTGCTGTCTTCAGAAAATAGACTGCTGCCCTTAACTACTGTACACATCAGGGCAGTTAAACTGTAGGGCACATGTAGCTGGGAATGAGCTCTACTAAACATACTGGGACTTACTTCTGGGTGTAATTTACCAAAAGCCTTGCATCTCCGTTTATACACTCTGGTCTTCACACAGAAGGATGGAGAGAATGCAGTCCTTCACACTCACACACTTGCCAGGAAGAAAGCATCACTGATCACAGTAAGACTAACTCCTAAATTGGCATGCCTAAGATATGTGCTCAAGTCTCATGGAAATCAATAAAACAAATGCAGAGTTGAGAGTGTTTAAGTCCTACCAAACAGATATCTAAGGTTCTCTAGGCTGCACACGGAAGAAAAAGGAACAAATTGCAACTGTCATACTTGGTAAGAGATGTGAATTCTAAATTAATCTGCTGATATCAAAGGCCTCCATCCAGTCTGGGTCAAATGTGTGTGAAAGATGCTTCTTTGAATGCATTCCTAGCTCCTGAAGGGAGCAACCTTCCCCATTCAAGGAGAACCTCTGCCTGGGCCCCATCCTGAGATGTGAAGGATCTCAGATGCCTTCACATGTGCACTGCTGTGTCGACATGTGCGGCTCCCCACTAGTGAAAAGCAGCCCCATGATGTGCTATGCAGGCTGATGTGAGTGGACAGAAATAGCTCTGGGATGCCTCCTGGTGTGGGCAATAGACAGGGAGCTTCAGATTTCACCTAGGAGCCACCTGGAGGGCTCAATCTGATCCACAGTAGTCAGAAGCAGGCCCTGCTGTGCTGAATGGGAGCCACTCCCTGGGGGGGCCACTCCCTGGTAAGGGTGTGCCAGGCTTGGATCGGTGCTTCCTTAAAAATAAAACCTACATGGGGCCCAGTGGGCTTGGATCTGGAAGACTTCAGTGCCAGTTCTGCTTCTGCTGCAGTCCTCATTGTGTGACACTGATGCCTGTGAAAAAAATCCGCTTTCAAGTAAAGCTTTGTTTCCAGTGAGCCTATTTTGCATTTCACATCTCTCTGTAAAAATGTGCATTGATAAGATGAGTGATCTTAGCCAGAAAATATGTAATATTCTCAAGAGTTCCCCTGGGGCCATTTTGTTGGTTCAGCTTAAGAGGTTTTTTCTCAGCAAGTTGGTATTTGCTTGTCAAAGTTTTTCAAGTACCTGGACATTAAGATGCAATGGTGCATGCCAAGCTGGCTAACTGGGTGTCTCTGCAGGCAGAAGGCCCAGGATTCCACAGACCCATCCCTCTTACTTGAATTCCGTGGCATCAAAGGCTACATGGACTCAAGCTCTGATTCTCATCAGCCCTCTTGCAGGCAGTGTTGTGTAGTGGTCAGTGGGTGCAGGAGACTCAGGCTCAAGTCCCCACTTAGCCTTGAAGCTCACTGACTTTGGGCAAATCTTTCAGCCTAACCTATTAGTATTATTAAACTGCACTGATATCCCACCTTTTTTCCACTTGTGAGGAGCTCCAGGCAGCTTACACTGTCTTCCTCCATTCTATTTTATCCTCAGAACAACCACCTTGTGAGGTAGGTTAGGCTGAGAGTAACCAACCGTACAGGGTTGTTGTGAGGATAAACTAGAGAAAAGGAAAAGGTCCACTGAAGCCATTCTGGACTCCTTGCAAGAGGAAAAATGTGGGACATCATTGTAATAATAATGAATAAAATAAATAAATCCTTCAAGGGAAGACAAAGTAGGACAGGAGGGGGGACTTCCACAGTGACTCTCACTTTCTACAGCTGTTTGGCAGGCAAACCTGCCCAGAATTCTCTTCACAAATCTCCCATCCACAGGTAAAGAAACCGTGTATCAAAAATCCTGCCCAGATATTGACCGAACGTGACCAAACAAAAATTGCTGCTGTTTCAGGGCCCAACTGAGCCAAAGCTGACTTTTTTTTTTAAAATGCCCTATTGATTTCTTTGTGAAAGCTAAACCAGTTGCATAAAACTTTCCCACTAAATTTTATGGACTGCAAACTGCATAACTACCTGAAAATAGTCAAAGCATGATCCAGAAATTGTGATTTTAATCTACCTCGTGGTCCAGTCCTACATATGTTTTTATCAGGCGTCTCACTGAGCCTAAAGGGACTGAACATATGGAACACTGCTTGAATTATACTATTTTTATAAAACTTTTCAAAATAGACAAGTCACTTTAGAAGTTTCCTTTCAGAAAAGCGAGATGCATTAATTTCAAACAAAAAGAGAAGTCTGTATTTGCTAATCGCGATCCTCCGCTCTTCTTTCTCAGCAGCTCCTGAGAAGGGGTCCGTGCCCATGAAAGCTGTCGCCCCAGTAAGCGTGTGAGGCTTTAAGGTGACACAAGCCGTGGCGTGGTCTAAACTAGCCCGTTTCAAAGAGAAACAGAAGCATTTGAGGGAGAGGGCTGTTTGCTTGGGGCGGGGGGAGCCGCCTTCTTAAGCCTCGGTGTAGCAAACGCCAGCGAAAAGCGTGCCTTGGGGCACCTTGCAAAGCACAAGGCGGCCGCCGCCGAAGCGGCTCGGAAGCCCTCGCACTCAATGAAACAAAAAGTTTAGCAAGAAGCGGAAAGAAGACTCGAAGGCGCAGCCTTTGAGCCCCCAATCTGAACCGTGCCGGTTAATGAGCAAGGGAAGGAGGGCTGCGGGGTGAACATTAACTCACCTGGGTTCAGGCTGCTCTGGAAATAGAAGAACACCAAGAGCAGGGAGCCCAGGCCAGCGGCCAGGACCATCCGGTGCACCCTGCATTTCCTCATGCTCTCTCCTAGCAGGCATCCCCGGCGGCAGGCACGGCAAGGGCGTTTGCGGGGCTCGTAAGGGAGCCGCTGCCGCCAGTCATGGCCCGGCTTGCGCTGCGGGCGCGGCGAGGCAAGTCCGGCCGCCTCGGCTTGGGCTGCTCCTAAACGCGTGAGGAGCGCAGCGGCGGCGGCGGCAAATTTCCTTCTCTCCTCCCCCGGCCTCCGCCTCCGAGGGGCGGCAAAGGAAAACTCTGCACAGGGCAGGGCCCACTAAAGCGGCGGGCCGGGGAAGGAGCGCGCGCCGCGGGAAAAGGTGCCCCCTGGCGAGCGCCTCCTCCGGCCCGCTGCTGCTCGGAGGCTTTGCTCCGCGCAGGCTCCCCGAAGGGAACTGGCGGGGAGAGCCTGTTGCGCGCCTCCCCCCAGACTTCCTGCCCGTGGATCCGTCTGGCTGAAGTGGGGAGCCCGCCGCTCCCTCGGCGCGCTCAAAGCCACCTCGCTCGACCTCGTGTCTTGCAGCAGCTGCCTACTCTGCAGTTGTGCTGCGGGTTGGGTTTCATTTCGACGGCCGGCGTTTAGCCCGCGGATGTGTGTGTCTCAAGTTGTTAGCGCCTCTGAGCATGCGAAGAGTTCCTTGCATCACAACTTAATAACAAAGGCAGCCAATAGCCACGCACATGGGATTTGGCTTGGCGAAGAAAGCCGATCCTGTGGGAAAAGACCCGAGAGCTCCCGTATGTTTGCAGCTGCCCCTCAGTCACCTCCTCCCTTTACCAGCTTAAGCCATGTCTCCTCGCAAGTAAGCCCCACTACCCGCAACATAAGCACAGAAAGCTGCCTTATGGTACGCCAGAGCATTGGTCCATCTAGTATTTTCTGCACCAGCCTTTACCCGGTCCCATCCAGATGTTTTGGACTACAGCTCCCAGCATTCCTGGCCAGAGGCGATGCCAGCTGGGGCTGATGGAAGATGGAGCACAAAACAACTGGAGGGCACCAGGTTGCAAAAGGCTGGTCTGTTCTGTTTTCCACGATTTCAGAAAGGAGCCTTTCTCATTTCTACCCAGAGGTGTCAAAGATTGGACCTGGACCTTTGTGTGTATAAAGCTGGAGCTCTATTAGTGAATCAGAGCCCCTTCCCATTACATTCAATGATGCTGGCTTAAGTATGCCTGCCCTAGACAATGCAAACCTACAGCAGTCACTTTAGCAGAAAGTTCTATTTAATTAGGGATGCAGGTGGCGCGGTGGTTCCCAAGTAAGTAGGTATAGGATTAGCGACGGCAGCTGGACCTGCCATTGAAAGGTGGCGCCCTCTGGTGGCAGATGCAGTGGGAAATGGCCGCAGGGGACTGGAAGACAGCTGATGCCACACAGAGTCTGCCCTGTACCCCCCAAGCTAGCTTGCCACTGCTGCCCCATCATGACTGTTGAAGTATGATTCAACTACGAGTCTGACTGCCCACTGTACTTGGAATGTGGTGGTGGGAAGGTCTTGTTTCAAAAGGCAGTGCATCTAACTTCATAGGACAGTGCTATCACTTGGCTTTGCAAAGGATGAATAGCCATACAACACTTATTATAGAAACAGAGAACATAGAAACAGAGTCAGAAAGGGTCTCCTGGGCCATCTAGTCTGACCCCAGCTCCAGCCAGCTCCCCTCATGACATGCCTACCATGTGCATGTCCAGCCTATCCTTGAACACCCTCACTGATGGGGCTTCAACCACTTCCCATGGAAGCTCATTCCGTACCCTCGAGGTTCTAACTGTCAGGAAGTACTTCCTGGCATCCACCTTGAATCTTAGTTCCCTGAGCTTTGCTTCATTGGAACACTTCCTGCCCTCTTCTGCAGGGAAAAACCGGCCTCCACCCACCTCTGTGTGGCACCCCCTCATGTACCTGTACATTGCCAACAGATCCCCTCAGAGTCTCCTCTTCTCCAGACTGAAAAGACCCAGCTCCCCTCAGTCTCACCTCATATGGCTTTCTCTGCAATCCGGCCACCACCCTTGTGGCCCTACGTTGCACTGACTAACCTGGCTATATCCTTCGTGTAATGTGGAGCCCAGAACTGAACACAATACTCTAGTTGCAGGCACACCGGGGTCATATAGAATGGCAGTAATACCTCTCTCAATCTAGAAGCCACACTTCTGGCTACGCAACCAAGGGTGGCGTTCGCCCTCTTGACCACCGCATCACACTGCTGACTCATGTTTAACCTGCAGTCAACCAGTACCCCGAGGTCCCTTTCACAAGTGCTGCTCTCCAGCCACTTCTCTCCTAACCTGTACTTACGATGCCCATTTCCTATGCCCCAAGTGCAAGACCTTGCACTTATCCACACTGAATGCCATCCTGTGGTCCCTCACCCACTTCCATAGTCTGCCCAGATCCTTCTGGATCTGGAGTACCTGCTCCTCAGCTGTGGTCATCGCCCATTTTAGTATCATCTGCGAATCTGATCAGCAGACTGAGGAATCCCTTTTCCAGGTTATTGATGAAAAGATTGAACAGGATCGGTCCCAGGACAAAGCCGCTGGGGACCCTGCTCATCACCGGCCACCAGCCTGATGATTTCCCACTTACTAACAGAGCCACTTCATAATCGCTTCACATGGCATATGTAGTAACATACACCTATATTCAAGGTGAAAGCTGTTATAATTAAAGGCATCAGAAACAGAAAAGGTCTTAGTTTCCCATCTTCTGGGTCAATATAGACTGCACTTTATAAATGTAACATGCGGTAGTGAGATTGTTGAGACATCTGTTTAAACTGACTGATTCGCTCCTTGGGAAGAGTGGCTAAAGTATCAATCAAGATGTGGTTGATTGTAGTGTGTAGTGGCACTGAAATGGGCATGCTTGCTTACAACATTAAGGGAGACACTGAAATCGTTCTAGGGTGCGTCAAGGCTCTGCAATAGTCTTCCAGCGACTTTGGAGGGTCCAGCGCTGGGTCCTTGCCTTGGTTCTCCGCTTGGCTGGACATCAGTGGAATGGTTTAAAAACCATTTAAAAACATGTGGGGGTCAAAACCAAATGGTTGTGTTCCACTGGACATACTATGTATTTTGGCCTAAATAGTGTTTGAATCTTCTAAGACCTAAGGCAACTTTAGTGACCCTTCTTTCTGTTGCATCACTGCTGGACATGTAATGGGTACAGGCTCTTCCTGGTAACAAGTTCTGTTCCTGAGAAAATGGAAATTTGTCTTAACATCGAATTTGTATGTAAGTCAGATCATGAGTAGTTAGCCCTGCACATTTGGAGGGGTTACGGGTGCAGGACCCCCATGAAAGTGGAAAAACTGTGAATACGTATCTCTGAGGGGCTGCCTGTACTTGGCGACAGTGCAAATCTTCAGTGTTTTGGTGACTTCTGAGATTTGTCTGGTAGATGGAACAGAACCAAACATCAGGGAAACATCCTGACAAAAAGAGCAGCTGAACAATAGAATCAGTTCCCTACAGGGGCGTTGGCCACTTTCAGGCATCCTCCGGCAGAAGTTGGACAGCCATGCTCTGGCTCTGGGTTCTGTGTACCAAGAATGGATTATATGGCCCTCTCCAAGTCTGGGATGCAGTGATCAACAGAGTAGGAGCAAATGACAAAAAGATTTACTGGGAAACTGTTCCTTTGGTCATTTTTGCACCTTCGATGGGAGACCTGGTTAAATCTGAAGACCAGCTCTTAAGAGGTAACTCCAAAGGTGAAAACTTCTCTTTCTCAAACCTATTTAGTTTCTGTTCCCACAGAAGTCACCCATCTGTAGGACATGCCTGGCATCTGGATCCCAGCATCTTGCTGGTTCAGGGTGGCACTGCATTGCTTGTGAATCATGATGTTTCAGGTGTTACATTTCAGACCTATATCACATCACAGTATCTTTGCTGGCAGTGGAAGTAGATTTTCTTCAGCAATAAGTGATGTTGGATTACTGAGAGAAAATAACATCCCACAACAGAAATGCTTCTTTGAGAAGTGATGGCTTGATCTTTTCCAACAATTGAGCCATCTGTACTGCATGATAAATTGATCTTTGCAAAAATATAATTTTGCAGCTTAGAAGGCCCCTCTGAAAACAGCGACAAACTGAGATCAGACAATTGGTGTTAGCAATAAACACACTGCTGTGATTTATTTAAATCACTAGTCAGACTGGATTTAAATCATGGTTTTCTACACAATTTGCATGCATGGATGCAGGTGGTGCAGTGGTTTAAACCGCTGTGCTGCTGGGCTGGTTGATCGAAAGGTCGCCAGTTCGAATCTGCACAACAGGGTGAGTTCCCATTGCTCAGTCCCAGCTCTTGTCAACCTTGCAGTTCGAAAGCATGCAAATGCAAGTAGATAAAAAGGTCCCACTTCGGTGGGCAGGTAACAGCGTTCTGTGCACTTCGGTGTTTAGTCATGCCGGCCACATGACCACGGCGACTGTCTGGGACAAACGCTGCCTCCCTCGGCTAGGAAACGGAGACGAGCACCGCCCCCTAGAGTCAGGCATGACTGGACTTAATATCAAGGGGAAACCTTTACCTTTACTATGCCTTACTCATAGGTAGAGCAATTTCATTAAAATATTCCCACATTGGGTCTCTTTTATGGTTTGCCGCCATTGTAGGTTTTCTCCAGGGAAAGAATCATCTGATAAACCTCAGGCTACACACAAGAAGAGCCAAAGACTTGTGGAGTTTTCTGCTCAAAAGGTTTCAGTTTCATTCTTACTGCTTTCCCCTCCCTCCTCACACTGAGATCTTGAGCAGATCTGGTCCATTCCCAACAATCTTCTTCTATTCATTGAATGTTCTTGAAACTTAGCTCTTAAAAGGTAAGGGATTGATTCTGTAAACATAGATTTGCAAAGCAACAATGGGATTACGGTCTTTTTCTCAACTCGGTATGTTTGTTTTATAACATTTTTGCTGTGAAGAGGCATGTGATACAAACATTCACAGTTTTGAGAAGTGTCAAACCAAGCATCTGTGACACTATCTTTTAGACAGAAAACTACCCAATAATCTTATAGAAATCACTGGAAGAGCCCGGCATTATGAATGGATTAATGGAATTCATTTACCAAAAAAATTTAAACATTGCATGAATATGAAGCCTCATGCTACATAATTAAAAACTATTTCTTATTTCATG